TTACATGCTGCGACCGCATTCTTCTTATCGGTCGGTGATTATTTATGCTACCCTGGCCGGGCATACAGCTGGCAGTCTCCGTGTTGCATGATTTCCAATAATGTTTTATAAAACGTGCCATCACTGATGATGCTCCACCATGTAAAGGTCTGAATCGGTTTGCGTAAATAACTTAATTCGACCAAAAATGCACTTTTTGGTTTTCTTCCATGGAATGGAAAAATGCATGCCCTATCCGACGGCCGCTATCTACGTCAAATAGCAATCTGCGCAGCCAGGAGCCAAGGATTCAGTCACGGCCACAACCAGTGCTGCTAACCACGACTGCGCGAGGCGTTTCTCACCTTATTACGTCATGCATTTCGTGCGGCTTTTTGGAAGCCGATATATACAATGCACATCGTAGCAAAGAAAGGATGCGATACGAGACTTATATATTATTGAGACAAGAGACATGGTAACAGGTAAGACCAATAGGCGGCTCCATAGAAAGGGAATTCTGCGCTCCACACTGCTCGCTTCAGACCGTCGCATGTAGTTAAAAACAAATATTGGATGAATCCGATCTCAGCCGCACCCAAGCCGCGGCCAACCAACGATGCCGCCATCACGACGACGCAAGACTACCCCAAACGGATGCTGGGATGGTGTGGGCGTGGGGGTGCCGGTGTTAGGGATGGTGGGAGTAAGGATACCGACCAGGCGTGCATGTCCCCTCCCCCTCCCATTAATCTTGCTTGTCAGTATAGCGCCTTCAAGGCGTTGGGTGGAAGGAACGGATGTAGATGCTGCTCGTCTCCCGAGCATAAATGAGATGGTAGTGCCACTGTGCCAGCGGTGGTAGTTGCCAAAGCTTTTGTGTTTTTATGCATATGCTTAATCTAAAGATTTAATCCAGACCTTTTGAATGGATTCTGGGAACAGAACTCACGCTAGGCAGTGCTTGTTGTGCAAGCCCTGGCACCTACCTTCCGATCGCGCCTGACTTGCCGCAATGCTCGACGCGGTCCAACCTACCCTCCGGCGTGACCTGACCTTAAGTGCGACCGCTGTCCCCGGCCGTATGCCATACCTGTCAAGGGCGATACCGTTTGATACGAATTACCCAATGGCATTGTCATAAAAACAGACCGTCAACAGTTTGTTTTCCTTCGGTTTTATATGTCTACAGCATATAACCGCTTTCGTTGCGGACAGGTTTTGGAATATTCCACCATGTTCTCTTCATCCGAGTGTGAGGAAATGAGACGTGCGACTGCCTCAAGGCATAATTTTCAAATGTAAGCGATCTTGAAACCTGAAACAGTTATCTCCAGTTCGTCTGCATGAGCCTCTAATTCACGCATCAACCAACACTCGGCCGCTTTCCCTATTTCTTAAAAGATATCATCTCTATCACAAGACTTGAAAACGCGCGCAACGTATGTGCCGTGCGGGTGCTGCAGGTGCCAGACAGCGAGTCTTCTTACTGTCTGCCGCCTGTACCCATAACAAGCTTGTCTCTTGTCTCGCGTGTATTGGTGATAAAACCTACCGTTCTCAACAAAGCGTTGTTGACGACGGCGGAATTATACCGCACTTGGCAGCTGTGTTGAGATCAATACCGTTCCGGTGGATTTCGAAGCCACGCTCTAGGGAGGGGGCAGGTTAATTGCATGTCAGCCATTGGGAACAACGGCGTCCGAAGGTGGCATTCAGCTCCAGACTGACAATTAATCACCTGGCGCGATGTGACAGCGCTGCATGGCCGGCGCCGGGCCGTACAGACAGTGCCAGCCGAGGCGCCGCTGCGACACACGCCATCCTGTCCACACGTCCCGCTGACGTATCGCCCGGGCGGGCCGCAGTGGTGACATCTGGTGACGGGATTCGGAACTCAGCCTGCCAGGTCCAGGGTGCGAGCTGCCGCAGCATCCAGCAGAGACGGAGATACTGAGAATGCGTGCAGACCAGGAGCGGCGAATTGGAGAAGGCCGGAAGAGAAGAGTTCCCGACCAGCCTCTGGCAAAACATGAGCCAAAACGAAGTGATAAATCTCCTCGCAAGGTTTTGCAGCACCTGCGCCGAAAAACTTGCGTAATGGTCACAGCAAACTGGTATCGTGGGAACGGTTTTGCCTATATAGATACGTCTGATGTGTGGAATGCAGCACAAAACCCGATTCGTCGTTTGGTGGTGTGCAAGTAGGGAAACTCAAGGAATGAAGTTCAGACTAACGAAAGCTATGTTCGACCTCATTCCTAAACCAAGTAGCTAAAAGTGGCCGTGTGTAGCCGACTCCTCTTTATGCAATCTATCGCAGAGCTCTGATTGGCAGTTCCGGTAAGCAGCAGTTGTTGTCAATTAAGGACACTTTAGAAAATATTAGCAATGCGTGGACGTTTGCTATCTTGTCGCAACGCTGAAACTGCCACAAGCACGTGCCGGATAGCCTGAATAAATATCATATCATATCCGTATCTGTAGATATGTGCGAATTCATCTCGTACCTTGAAAAGATTGCAGCTTCCGGTATTTCAACCGCACGCACCAGCTTTGACATTTTCTCCTGACTCTGATAGCTCCTTGGCACCAGGTTACACCCATCCCTTCCACGAGTTGTTGACATCCCGATGCAGGAGCCCGCGTACCTCAGCTTCAGCCACGACTGGTCGTCATAGACCGCAGGTTCACTTCAGCCATAGACTGTTCGTCGCAGTGGGTTACAGAAAGCACATCGATATGTGGGGTTGGCTATAACCAGTGGCACCGCCAACCGCCCATCATGCCAACTGCGCATGTAAAGCAAAAATGCATGTCAGCGCACATTCCTTATGATATGCACAGCGGGAAGCATCCACAATATTTTCTAAAATTTTAGAAACAAGGTGCCCTTAAGCAATGTCAGCTACGTGATCTGGTCGCAAGGTACCATACGGGCCAACACACTTATAGATAACTGTTAAATACCGACAGACATACGTGACATTAAAATCAAGCGGCACACCACGGGACTCTTTTAAAGGAACGAATAGCGAACAAGCGAGCTGATGATGTGCCATGAAAAATTAAAAGCTATCCATCTCATCAACAATATCACAACAGTTAGGCAACCGACTATGTTTTCTTCCTACGTTTTTTGTCTTTCACGTACCCAGCAAACGGCCTCGCACCGGTTCAACAAGGGCCCCATGCGGCCTGCACCATTGACCTTTCGAGGCCTGTCCGCATGGTGACTGCAATGTTTTTCTCGCTGGCGACGTGAGGCTCCGTGATGCTGACCCATCATGGACGGTTCGGGTTTGACGTAACGCAGAGCTCGTGGGACGGCAGCTTACCGAGCGCCGTCCGCACCCACGTCTTGCTCGCCGGCGATGCGCCGATCCTCTGGGGCGGCTCGATAGGGGACCGCTTCGGGGGAGCGTTACGAGAGGCTGTGGTTCACCGCATGCGACTGCACCCGAACCAGTAATGGTTTACTGAGAGCAGCCCGGCCTGCAGCATACGTGACGTCATTGCACAAAAGAATTTGTGCTGCGAACAGTAAACCGGCTGCGCCAATTAATCCCCGGTCAGTGGCGATGTTTTTAAAATTGTTTGACGCATTGGCTGCCCTGCCAACGCAAAAGACGTGACGTAATTCCACGTCTCTCACACGACCCCTCGGACACCTGCGTTCAGTGACACGCGCAAACATGGTTACGTGGTAACACAAACAAACTCCAGGTGTCACCTTCATAAGTGCACCATCACTGATTTAGTGCGTTCTTTTTCTTCTTCAAAGGTTTTACCAGGTGTGTGTGGGGGGAGGGGGGTATGGGGCGACTGGGAGTAGGTCCGCAAAATAAGTTGGGGATAAGTACAGAAAATATCATTTTTTCTCCATCACTCACGACAAACGGGTTTCTGTGCGAGTTTCTACCGCTTCCTTCCCCAAGTTTGTGGCGTGATGTCTCCAGTGCCACCCGCTTAATAGGAAGCCAGTCCCCTGACCAGGTGACTTCTATCAAGGCTCGCAGGCTGACGGAAAATGACTTAATACCGCGATCTGGTGAACAGATGCTATACTAAGGTTTCGCGCTTCTACCGCACCGCGGCGCTGAGCCGAACAGATGCTCCCAAGGCGCGCGTACAGCATTCAGTCAACGCCAATCATTCCTGCAAGTGAAGCCCATGATGAGAATTTCCAGTGGCGAGGTTACTTCCATGAAACAGCTGGACGAAGACAATAACGAGTACTTGTTTTCATTAAGCAATTTAGCTAGGGATAACAATATAGTTACTTTATCCAGATTCCGAGCAAAACTTGGCAATAAAACGCACCATCCATCAAAATATCAAGTTTACATCTAAGTCAACATCTAACCGTCAACCATCCGATTCTTCGGCATAGATTTAAGACGGTTTCACATTCATCACTCTTAGCTTTACCCTTGTGCCGCTCCCCGGAGCCCGGGCTTGTGCGGGGTCTTCCAATAGGCCTCGCAGGCATGGGGCATGGGGCTAGCCCAGCCTGCATGTTTTCAACATCAGTGTTTCCTTAAACATTTATATTTAAATGGCTAACTTCACTTATTTTCTGAACACGGAAAACCGTACAATTCCGCACGTTTCTGCACAGTTCCCACAGGGCCTTAACCACAAAACGCATTCACGTTACACGCCAGTACACCTCAGATCTGCAAGAAAAGCCAGCATGCCAACCGTCTCACGGCCAACATACCAACAGTCTCAAGGCCAGCACACCAACAGTCTCACATGCTCACGGCTCATTTTCCATCAACTCAAGACGTCTCTGGAATTCCGCTGTCCACAAGTCTCCACGGAGTCTTCCGTCACAGCGCCGTGCACCAGCCTTCGCACTGACCTCACGCCATTCTCCACGGCGTCACACTGACGTGGCTCATCATCGCCCTCCGACGTCACCAGCGACCGCCACGGCGTCAGTGACAGGCTCCAGACTCCAGCCCCTCCCCCTATTCCCACAGTGTCACAGACGAGTTCCCCAGCCTACCCCGTCCTCAGGGCGTCACCGTGACATGCCTCAGCCGGAGGCACTCGTGCCCCATCTCCAGCAGGCAGCTGAGGCGGCCCAGCACCAGCAGGGCGGTGGCGGCCGTCGCGCCGGGCACCAGCCGGGCCGTGTCCGGCTGCCAGCGGCGGCCGTGGGGCGGCGGCCGGCTCGCCAGCAGCGCCGTGCAGCGGCCCCTGGCGGCGGCCACCAGCTGGGCGGCCTCCTCCAGGCCGGCGCGGAGCCGCGCCAGCTGGCAACGTGCCGCCGCCTCGGCCGGGCCCGCCGCCAGCGCCGCGTCGACGGAGGGCGGCGGCGCGTCGACCAGCAGCGCATCCGGCAGCCGGGCCGACAGGTGGAGCGAGGAGAGGTAGTCCACCACCTCCAGCACGCTCGGCAGGTATCTGAGGAGGTGCAGACTGTGGGCTGAGGCGGGGCTGGGACGTACACGGGAGTTCCGTAGTGACGGCCATGGCCTGAGGCTGCTCACAAGAGAGCAGGTGGCATAACACATCACAAATAGGCCACCACACATCTTAAGGGTAATGCCGAGCGACAACTAGATGTTAGCGAAACACACGCAAACCATCCGAATTACAGCCTCACAAATGCAGGACATGACATTATCCAGCAGGAGGAATGGACATATAGCGTAATGTCGCGAAAACAATGGCGGACCAGACCCTTCAGGGGAGTGCGCGACATGCTCGGTTTGACCAGCGCACGTGAGCGGACCGACTCACACGAAGCGGACGCGGTGCATGGAGTCAGCTGCCGGCAGGGGCATGCCGTGCACGGGCGGCGGCAACGCCTCCAGAGGCTCGCTCGTGACGTACGTCACGCTGTCGCCCTCCTGGGCCAGCGTCACAGCCGCCTGCAACGGGCACACTAGGTCAGCTCCGGCGCCACCAGACGAAACGGCGGGCCGCATCGGATGCATGCCGTCCACAGGTCACACATCGTCCAGCGGTCACACACAACATCCACGGGTCACACACATCGTCCACAGGTCACACACATCGTCCACAGGCCACACGCATTGTCTGCAGGTCACACAATCAGCCACAGGTCACACACATTGTCCACAGGTCACAAACACCGTCTCCAGGTCGCACACGTCGTCCAAAGGTCACACATCATCCACAAGTCATAAACATTGTCCACAGGTGACACACACCATCCACAGGACACACATCGTCCGCAGATCCCAAACATTGTCCACAGGTCACACACACCGTCCACAGGTTACACATCGTCCACAGGTCACAAACATTGTCCACAGGTCACACACATCTTCCACAGGTCACAAAAATCGTCAACAGGTCCCAAACATCGTCCACAGGTCACACACATCGCCCACAGGTCGCACACATCGTCAACACCCCCCAGTAAGCTGCACGCACACCCGGAGGTCACGGACTGGTGCAGAGGCTACACACGGTAGCCAGGTCACACCAATGACCCAGGGCTGCACGCGCACGAAACGAACAACAGGTTGCACCACAGGCGGGAGATCGAGGGCACTGTCCGCGAGTACACACTGTTGTTAGGTCACCCTCCCGGGTCTGCGCAGTCGCAGGCCGCAGTTCGCAGTCAAGGCTCACAGGTCCGAGTCCCGCCCCGACAGCGGGCGTCACACAAGGATACAGCATCTGCCGCATAATCTAATCTTTTTGTCATTTTGAAGATGTCTTTTACAGCTTCAAATGCTTTATAGGTTGACATTTCAGGCTGTGGCTGTCAAAGTGTTGGGTTTTAGGGAAATATCCTTTTCCGGCCTGGAAAAAATGGCGCATAAGTCAAAATTGACTTTCTTCGATCCTGCAATGAATTAAAATCCAATAACACCGCTATAAAGATAACCGGTGGCAGAGAGCCCATATGACGTGAAAAGGACTGGACAATATTCCGTCCCATTTCTGCCATCATCGGTGACATCTTCAGCATACATGCTTTACCGGGCACGCGACCCCAAGACGGAAACATCCAGTTCACATTAGCAGCGACTTTCAATAGCGGGCGGACGTTGACTCCACCATGGCCCAGATGACGTGAATTTAAACGGTTTGAGGCGTTAGTCGCTGCTTGTCGGAAACGAGCATAGCACGCAATGGTTTGGAAGCCATCGAAATGTAGCGCCACACAGGGCGAGACACCGGCTGATGCACACACATACTGAGCACTGCGACAAGCGCTGCGGTGGACCGTCGTGTCAGCCCTGGCATCACACGCAGCTGACGGGGAAGATGGGAGCCCGGGTCTGGAGATCCCTGCGATAGGCAGGCGATCGCGCTGTTCAGAAGGTGGACGGGGGCAGCGCACATTCGACTCACAAGCAAGTTGGAGGAACGGCTCCATTAGACCATGTACTGAACAGATACGGACTTGTGATTACCATGACCATTGCTCAGGTTTGAACTAAGGTTCAAACCAGAGGAGCATGCGTTAGATAGGCACGATATTTGTCCAGTATCCGACAACGATCATCGCTGCGCGGATGCGAGCGAAGTGAGGGAGTGTTAAACCAGTCAAAACAGTCGATTGGGTAGGGACGGTACAAACCGTGAGAATCTGGAGACTGCACTGGTATATATAACCAAAGTACATAATTAGGCAGAGAAGCGTGGAAAAGTAAAATAAACGTATGTGAGATACCTTAACGACAGATAACAGCCTAAAACATGAGGAAGCGAAAGGGAAGGAAGGGGAAAAAGAAGAAAAAGGCAAAGGACCCGGGCCCGAGCCCAGAGGAAATAGCGCAGCTAGAAAGCGAGCTCCAGTCTAGCGTGGCAGCGGTAAGCGAGGAAATAGGGGGACTGAAAAACAACATAGAGGAGCTGAAGGAGGAAAATCTCAAACTCCAAGAGGAAACGTCAACTCTGAAAGAGGGCACTGAGGCGTGAGTACGAGTTTAAGAGAGGAAGATGTCAGAGGGAGGACACCCATCCCAACCAAAAATTGATTGCAACGGCGTCTTCGCCGCCACCCGACAAAAAGCTTGCTTATTTGGCGCACGGACGCCTGTGGCCCTGCAGTATATCAGCTAACGTTTGGTAGCACTAGATGCATTTGGGTACCTTACAATGTTAGTGGCCCACCAGCTGCCACGCCTGAAGCAGGCTCCTTTCCGTTATTTCTTCCCAACACATAATATCTAAGCGGGTTGGGCGCTCAGCTGGGTCACATATTCAGAGACAATGGGTACGTAGGATAAACGTCGCTTCCACGCGCTCGATCCTATCACCATTCGCACAGAACATATTCCTAAGTATTTTCATCAAGTTTAAAAATTGACGTAAATGACGCGTAGTCTGCCCCACCCCCGATCTTCCCTGGAGCAGGCGTTGAGTAACGCCGGCACAGATGCACCGCTCTGGCCGGTATCTCATTTGCACGCCTGGCAACACGCACCGCCCACGGCGTGTTCCAGCTACGTCAGCGAGATGCGCGCGCGCTCCGAGCGGCGCCAGGCGATCCTGCAGGGCATCCAGCTGCTCAAGCAGAAGCAGATGACGTCCCTGCAGCAGCAGCGCACCGATAGCAAGTCCAACTATCAGAAGAGGCGGGTGGCGCTGCTGCAGGACATCACCAAACGGACGACGGAGCTGGCGCTGGCCCAAAAGCAGCTGCAGGACCTGGACCCCGTCCGGTGAGAGCGGAGGGCGAGGAGGGGATATACCGCTAAACGGCCTACAGGTTCGGGCTACAGGCTCGGCCTCCTCTATCTAGGACGGTGGGATACAATGGGGCAAGAGACAGGAGGCAGTCAGAAAAACGCATGGACAGCTGTCATTAGAGAGCACCCGCTGAGCGGGCGGTAAAATACTATTACAACATTTAGTTGCGTTTCCACATGAAGCCTCCTAATGGGCTGCGGTGTTTGCAGAAAATTACAACAGGAGCAAAATACAAAGATAACCTACCTCGAGACCAAGTTGGAGGAAGAAAAGGATGTTTATGACAGCCAAGTGCTGGAAATGAAGCGCCAGCTTATTAGGTTTGTGAATTATATGCCTTAGAGCACCCGGAATCTCCCTGCTTTCAGATGCCTTTCCCTTTCAGGGGATTGTTAAATTTCCTTTTATAACAATCTTCAAAGCCCACCGTAAATCTCAAGACATCTACACTATTTCAAAACCTGTCACACCAACCCAAAACATATTTGCTTCACTCATTTAGTAGGGACCTTCTGGGGATGCGCAGACTGTGACATGGAACTACTAACGCTATCAAGCTTGCAGGCTCAAATACTCTCTGCAGGACGAGCTGCAGCACGAGCTGGATGACGTCAAAGAGCACGCCAGCTCGGTGGCGAAGCGCTGCCTCGGGTACGTGATTCGACGGCTGACCTACAGGGGCCGTTGTTCTATCCACTCCAGCAGTCGAGGAGGTCTGCGGTAGGCAGGCGATAGGCTAGGTTAGGTTAGGCTACTGGACTGACCACGGGAGTGGCAGCCGACAGTCGTGCCTCCGTACATAAAACGCTGCGGTAATCGTCCTCGCGACCTCTCACGTCGGTCGTTGCCGTGCACCCTGGGAAAATATGCGCAGCGCGCGGGATTCGAACCCGGAACCCTGTCTGACGTTCGATGCTTCGACAGCCGCACCGTTTACACTTCCAGCTGGTCACCCCCACTGCACACAGCAGGGGCAGCTCTTCCCTCGAGGCGATCAGCGCCACGCCCAGTAAGCGGACCCGCCGTGCCGCTGATTGCGGGAGTCAGTCAGATGCGATCCCACCGGCACGGCAGGGCACCCGCGCGCCGACTCCATCCCGGTCGCACCGCGACCTCGGCCCCTTCTGAGCGCGCCGTCGTTTCCAGGAACTACGTGGTCCGCGTGCGCGAGGAAAACGGCATGCTGCGGCTGCAGATGAAGGAGCTCATTGACGAGAACAAGCTGCTGGAAGCCGAGTTCCAGCGGCAAAGCCACATCAGGAACGAGCAGCTCAGGGAGCGCGCCTACAGAAGCGACATCATCAGGCGACTCGAACAGAAACTCTGGCAATGCTGAGCCTGTGCGCTACGGTCCGCTCAGTACAGGCGCCGGATTTGCACGAATGACGCAAAACAATACATTTTGTGTTCTAAAAAGCACCAAGAGTTTGCACAACCCAAACTGAGGCCCCCCATTGGTGACACCAGTACACATTGTGGCATATTAGTTAGTTGTGAATCAGGTGATGCTCACTGGCAAAATGTCTGCAAATTCATTGGTGCAGAACTACCTTATAATGATACAGCCATAGGTAATTATAAGACTACATGAAGTTCAAACACATCAGGGACATAATATAACTGTAAGAGGTGAGTATATACCACTCCCACCAGCTGAGTTCTCAATTGTTAAACTTATCAGTACCAGGTAGCTGCATTCATTTATCAATCTTAATGCCCCATATATTTGATTATGTTAAAAATGACTAGGAGTCTGAATTCCACATATTACAGGTCACATATTTCAGGCATTGCCAGATGCAAGTCAGACCAGCCTGCTAGCTCAGCTAGCCCTAACCAAGAAAGACTCAGTGCACAGCACTTCTCGCCTAATATCTGAGACCAACCCATCAGCTACAGTTGAAACAGTACAGTCATACAACACAGTTCCTCAAACAATGTGCTATCTGTTTCTGGTTACTAATCTTTGGTGCATTTACTGGCTCTTTCTGAATTGAAGGAAACTACTTAGGGGTATAGTCAATGAAACTAACCAGCACAAATGAACACTTTCAGAGAAGCAATAAGATCAAAAGGCAAATGAAGGAACCAAATGAGGAAGGTGCAAAAAATGATTGAATGACATGCACAACTGGGTAGGCTTATGAAACATGCTTATTGTCTTACACTCCATCCTGCTTTAACCTGATCTTATCCCTCAACTTGCAACAATCCACAGGCAAGAAGAAAACTGACAGCAGTTTCAGCCTTCACCTACATCTTTAGGGTTAAGTCAAAATGACAGGAGCAAGGACAGCAGATTGAGGGCAACATGGGGCACCTGTCCCCTAACTGTGGGCAATATTTCACATTAACATGGTAGTGCATGGAATGGAAAAATATCAAATCAGATATGCTCTCTAGTCCATCCCACCTATTTATCTATTTTTATTGGCATTTATGACACTGGACTGACTGTACAGTGCCATTTTGCGCATAGTCCCTGCCATCTCCAGAGGTTCTGTTACTCCTGGTCAGCACTGCATCTTCATTATGCTATTGATCATTGCTCATTTATTTACTAGTATTGGTAAACCACACATTACTTACGCATTACACCACACTACATACAAACTACAGAGAACTAAGACAAGGCAACTGTTTCACACATTGAAACATACAAATGACACAACATATGGTGCTCCCATGATTCCCACATAATAAACCTGGAAAAGAAGGGAAGTCTTGAGACTGATGTCACCCTCAAGAGAGAGAAAGCTGACGGGATCGCCACAACTTGGGTGAAACAGTGATCTTCCCTCATCTGCACCTACATCCATTTCTCTCGAATCTGACTGAATGCAAGAGATGGGCAAAAACTTGAAGACAATTCCATTAACACCTTCCTGTCCCATAATGGCATAGCTTCGTAAAAGTGCACCAATAGCGTCCAGTTGACACCCTCAAGCACAGACTTCCAAGGCCGTCTCAGCCTCCGCGGTCTCGGACGTTCTCTGTACCAGGACCTTGGACGTCTCTCAAATCCAGGCGCCTGTTGCATTACGAAAAGCGTGTGACCTGATATGGCAGCATGAAGGATGAATATTTGTCATCCAATGGTTTATGATGAGAAAACAAACGTTTAGGTGCTCACTGACAGTACCTAAAATTTATGTCGATTAAGACCTTATCATGCAATCCGCCGTACAAAAGGGCTATCAACTTGACCAGTGCGGTTAACTGAACAAAATATATACAAATCACCCCTAGAAACGAACGGCACACGTTTTGTGCGCCGTTTATTTCGTTCCATAATTTGGTATCCCTGCACCACGGTGGAGACGGCGCACATGTTTCGATATCCCAGGAACTGAAACCAGCGAGAGCTGGAGCGGGAGCTGCGTGCCGTTGCTGGGCGAGGGCAGGTGAGGCCGAGGGGTGGGGTCGCCCGCGGAGTACGCAGGTGTTGTGGTTGGTGCGTGACGGTTCCGTCAGCACTTCTTTACTTGTTTAGGTCGACTGTTCTCCCTTGCGGTAAGCATAGGAAAAAATTAAATGACACCTATTGCTGACTGCTGCATAATGCAGTGGGGGCATAGTGTGAAAGGCTGGGCGAGGGTCAGAATCAAAAGATCATTGCCATTCTTTCTAACTACACTAATGTGTTAGCATATAATTTGGCCAGAATTGTTGAGAGGTGGGTAAGGGGTAGGTGGGTAAATGTCATGCCTCAAACCTGGCACAGTTCAGTGTTTTTTAATGCAAGATTATCTTGGAGCTGGCTTGGTACCCTGTCTGCAAAAAAATCAGCTCCTGCTCCAGATGCTTGCACATCATCCATGGAACCTCACTCTTACATGTGTCAACCTTAGGCTAGGCCAAATTGTGCCAAATTTTCAAGTTGCCGTGTTTGAAAATTGATTGAATATGCTTGCCTAAAGTTACCTTTATAGCATCATAGTTCCATGAAAAATTTGCTCCCTATGTGCTGAGATTAGTGTTGACAATACACAGGACTCTGAATGCTTGGATTTACAGTGTACATGTACTGACATGTGCTGACATGTATGCACATGCACCACAAGGCTGAGGTATCACTGGTGCCCTGGGCATGTTCAGAGTAACAGGTGTTTTTCAGCCTGATCTGATACAGAGTAGGTGCATTGTGATGCTGAGTGCTTTTTCATTTTATGTCAGGGTAGAGTGCTACTGATCAAACACTCAAAAATGACCCAAAAAGTACAAGTTAGTTTTTACATAGTTTTTGCATAATACACAGCTAAATTATGCAGTTGGCCTGATTTTTCCCCCATTGATCAGAAAAGTGTCATGGAAAGTTTTTGCATAATGTGCAGTTAGATTATGCAGTTGGCCTGGAATTTTTCCCTGTTGGTCAGAAAAGGGTCATGAAACAAGCACTGCCTAGTGTATGTGCTGATCCCAGAAATTCACCCATTTAAAAGTTCTGCAATAAATCTGGAAAAAGTCTGCAGAGCTTTTGCTCTATATTGCTGAAAGTTTATGGAAATAATTGGTCCTAATGGTATTGATTCATGACTGCTACAAATATTAACCAATGAAAGTAGCTGGATGTGAATTAGCTTGACCGCACTATGTAATAGTTAAAGCATACACATGTGACCAACTCAGTAGTTTAAGTAGGGCAGCTTAGAGGACAAGTTATGAGATAATTGAAGCTGCCATAAGCATGCTATTCATGTCTGTTGCATGGCTTCATGCTAAACATGAAGCTGTAACAATGTCTAAATTCACTCGCTCACAATGTGTGCTCAAATCAAACTTCTGGTGGGGATCTAGTGCTCCTCCTTTAGTGCTTGGTGAGCACCAGCCAAGCTAGTTTGCTGCTGATCTCAGGGAGATTTATTGGATTATCAGCATTTGTGGTGTGCAGGAGATTCATCAGTATTTGTGGTGTGCTGAGGCCCACTTATGCCATAATATTAAATGCATTGCTGGAAGTCTACCAGGTACCTTAGCTGGGACAATGCCACTGTATTTATTTGATTTTGAGTTGGTGTTTTATACAACTACCTAATTTTGTAATCTGCTAGGTCCTGTTGCCTGCCAAAATATGTATCTGAATCTTGTCATGCTACTCACTGTCCATGTCAGCTGAACTCATTGTTCTGTGAGGCATGCTGCTGTAAGTGTCTTTGGAACTGACACAACATGCTGGCAAGGTATTCACATTTTCTACTGTCATAAAATCTTATAAGCTTACTCCAGTATGCACAAAGCCTTAGCTTACTTATCAGCAAAAGGAGAATCAAAAGCTATTCCATGATGAACCACATTTTCACCAGCCTTTGATGTCAGAGAGTTTTGTTAATTACAAATGAAGCTTGGGGACCACATTCAGTTTCAAACAAACAAGCAGCCACCTTGCTGCCACCTAGGAATAGTGAGCAATACTAATTTTTTGTACTCCTGTATACTCCAGAATCTAGACATGAGGATATGGCAGACATTGTTAACTTAGGGTGCATAGCAGTAACATAAATACACCTACACTGCATAAGACAAGCTTAGTTCATCTTGTGAGTGCAATGAGTGTGAGCAGACATAGGTTTGTGTGTATCTGTGCTTGCACATCTGCATGCACGTTTTTGGAGAGTGGCTGGCGTCCACCGGTGCCCAGTCTTCCGTCGGGTGGCGGCCGGTGGGTCTGACGGCGCGCCCTCGATCGCAGCGCCACCTGTGCCGCACCTGCGCCGCTGTCCGTGCCGAGGTGGTGAGTCGTGCGCCGCCGCTCGCTGGTGCCTGCAGCTCTGTCAGGAACGGCCGCCATGAGTGCTGACAGCATTCCACCCGTGGTGAGTCGAAGCCAGCAGACTGCTCTGCAGCGGGGCAATGGATGAAGCCAGGGCCAGGAGAAGGCGTTGTTCATGGTGCGGAGCTAATTCACGTGCGTCGGTCGCGTGCGTCGGAATAGTCGGCCAGTCTTGTTGTCAACTAGTTTGCCTCGTTGTGTAACTGGAATTTGAGCTCTGTCGCAGTAATGCAGTGCATTGCATATTTGCACGAAGTGCGCGGACAGAAGACGTGGAGCTCATCTTCGCCGCTCTAGGCTTGCCGAAGTTAGGGTCAGTCATGAAGGATGTTAATGGCGTGCGTGGGTTAACGCAAGGTGCAGCAAATTATCGTGACTTGTAGGAAATTACGGCGTAGTTTTGGTCATCGGGAGGTACCGCTGTTTCAGTAGATGTGGACCAAAGTAACTATTTTGTCCGTCCCAACGACTCAGTTGGCTAGAGCACCTGCCTTCCGATCCACCCACCTGTGGCGGAGTGAGTTCGAGTCAGTTAAGGTGCTCGTTATTTGCACTCGACAAGTATGGCCTGCGACCGGCAGCAGGGGCCGCGCTAAAGGTCAGGAGAGCTCAGAGGTCAGAACGGACCGTGTCGAGCATTGCGGCACATCAAACTTGCGCCACCAAAGCCTTCCGTTGACCTGGAATGCGCGATCGGATGGTAGGTGTTAGAGCTCACACAACAAACGATGCTTAGCTCGAGCTCTGATCCCAGAAATCCGTCCATGTAGAAAGCGCGGACGAAATCTGTAAAAAAAAACTGAGGCCATGTCTTTGTGTCGTAAATCAATGCTTTTATGTGCGTTGTACTCACATGTCATACGTGCGTGGGCTCGGGCAGACTGGGTCCTGCTGGCGTGAAGCTCCAGTCGTGCTGCTTTTGGATGGAGATGTTAAGTGTCGAGGGTGCTGCCTATGACATTTGAATTGAAACTTTTGATTTACCATATCGGCCACACTTAAAAAGTCCGGTCAGGGTAGGAAAGCAAATCAAGTATTTTCCAATACACCGTGATGTAAGCCGTTATCCGTAATCCGTATCTAGTCGATGCGTCTTGGATTTAGTTATAGTAGAACGTGGTCTGACGTCACAGCATGCCCCCCTCTCTCTCTCATTGGCTATATGCGTGTGGGCCGAGCTGGCTGACCCAGCCGAAGACCTCGCCAGTCTCAGCGGGGTGAAGCTTAGGCCCGACCTAGCGGCAGCCCATGAACAGATCGTGTCGTATGATCTGCTGATGGTTCATGGAGATATTCATTATTTGCTGCCTGATTTGGACCGGGTGTTGCCAAACTCAGAAGTCGCGGTTAGCTTTTGAAATCCGATGTGATCGGGCCAAACGTCAATGGCCATCCCCTAAAACACCAGTGCAAGGTGTGTTGGCTGTGAGTTATGATGTAGATTTTGGTTAAGTTGATTTTGTAGATTTCTACCAGATAAGTTTTTGGAGCATGGAATTTCGAATAGACAGGTGGAATGGGTCAGTCGCTTCCAATTATATTTCCTCTTATCCAGCAACCTGCAATACATAAATTGTAAAATAGATTGTCTTTGTTCACGCCGTTCAAATGGCCGCTTATCTGAAGTAGCCACATACTTTGCGGCTTGGTGCTATATAGGATATATTTTAGCTTACTTTTACGAGAACGTATTGTTTTTAGACGGCGGTGGCCAAAGCTGGGCAACGATTACGTTTTTGGAAAATGCCGATGCTACTGGAACCGAGTCATCAGCCGTGCTGAAATAGAGCTGCTGCGTCCCAATCAGGTCCCAATCGTCCCAATCAGGCAGACACAGCAGTAACAACAGAGCAGAGGCCGCACCTCACGCGGTGCTGACATGAATCATGTAGCGTGTGGGATGATCGAACTGGCCACCATGACCAGGCGGTTGTCATGTCCAGACATAGGGCAGTCAAGTTCCCAACACCATGCTGACCAAAGACCGTCTAGCGTCAGTCACACACAGCGCGACCAGCTGCCGCTGTGTATCCGAACGCGGCGTAGCCCAGTCTCACACCTTCCGTGTCGAATTGCAGGTGATTGACACGGGACAGTTTTACCTATGCGCTGTAATGGCCTGCCAGAGAAAGAGCTCTGTGTGGCGTAGTTTCCGGGCAAAAGCCAGTGTTGGTGGCACGCAACCGTGGAATATTTTAACCGTACGAACCCCAGCACCTGTGATGAATGCTGTGCCTTCTCTCGAATATTCGCACACACGAGGGAGCGAAAATAAAAATAAACAGACACGTGCGCGCCGCTCACCTGACACAGCCGTATCATGACGAGTCTCGACCTCCAGAGGCGCCGGAGGGCACGGCGGCGGCGCGTGGGGGCGGTCTGGAGCGGTGCCAGCGCCGCCGGTATTTCGGCCGGGGCCCGGTCGTCCGGCGCGCCGCCGGCCGGCTCCAGACGGCCGCCGCCGCCGGCAGGGCGCAGCAGTGAGGGTGCCGGCGGACGGGCTGACGGACCGACCATGCTGCAGGTGCGTCCGGTGCTGGCCGGGCTGGGCGTGGTGATCCTGACAGCCATCGCCGCCAAGGTGTACCTGTGGCGGCGCAAGAACCGCGGCCCGCCGCGCGCCCTGCAGGACCCCAACGTCAAGTACCCGCTGCGTCTGATCGACCGCGTGGCGCTCAGCCCCGACACCAGGCGCTTCCGGTTCGCGCTGCCCTCCAAGGACCACGTGCTCGGTAGGTGGGCGACGGCGGGATGCAGGGGAGGGGGGAGCGCGTGGGCCGGGCGTGGCGCGCGGCGGCCTGGTTTGGACGGACGCGAGGTGCCATGACGCGAGATGACGCACGTGTTTTGACAAGGCGTGGGGCTCTCCGATGGTTGAGTTCATTTGAGTCGTGAGTCAAAACTGGCGGCACCTGGCGTAGTGTCAGCTTTCCCGAGGCGGTGAGTGTGCTGTAAGCCTGCATCTTTGTTCAGGACACCGCTTGGCTTGCGTACTAAACACCGCTGCCGGATCTGTAATTTGGTTCTCGCGGATTTTGTGCTCACGGCCCCATCCATAAGGCGACTCCATCCTTCCTATATTACTGGCGAGCCCGAATATGGGATTTTTAGGAGTAGCCGTTTCTGGCACCCCACTTTGGCTTCTGCTTGGTGCCAGGTGACAGCGCTCAGCTCTTGTTTCTCTGCCCGGCTTCCGGCTTCCGGCTCCCTTGCATCTGCCTGTGTTTCCATCGCCGGTCAGCCCATACCGGCTTCCATTTATTGGATCTCTGCCAAGCGCCGCCCCGTTGGCCAAGTGCCAAGGGCGGGTCGGATGGGCGTGACGTCACGTCTTGGTCCGCTACTGACGCCCTCGTGCGTTACCAAGGGAGGCACCGCCGCATCAGCTGAGCAGAGCTGCGCATCACCTGTTTTTTTCAGATGTTGGCCGCGGTACACAGACGTGCCACGTGGACCTGGCTTGCAGCTGTTGAATCCACTGAATTTGGCTTACGTGGCTGTGCTGGGTGGTGTATTGCACTGAGCCCTTAGCAGTTGCTGTGAGGGCCGTGCCAACATGCCGCGCCGGACGTAGATTCTCACGAACACGGCGCGCTGGTATTATTCATGCAGTGGAGCGATCGTCGCACGTGCACTTCCCATTAGACGCCACGACGCACATCGCGTGCAGTAGATCACTGTGAACACCTCGTCATCAGCATCTTGTCAATCACTTACACCATCTAATTGCTTGCATGTGGTGGTTCACCCACGCTAGTGGGGTAGGACCACATCTCATCTCAAGCGGGAATTGGCAACTGGCAAAGATAGCCAGCCGGAGGTGGATATGGCCACGCAACAGCATGTTGTAGCACGTAAACGTCCTCCGCCTGCAGTTGTTCGTTTAACCGATATTGCTCTTCTGGGGCGATGTGGGTCAGACAACTTTGGAACAAGTTCTGCTTTGGGAGACTTTTCGTTCCAAAGTCATCCTGGCAAAACAGTCTACCACATTTGTATATAACGCTGTCGTCCGCAGCCGTGTGACGGGGCCCGTGACATTCGGTAGTTGGCAGCGGTGTAATCGGGTTCGTTCACAGCTGTCACCGTCGGCTGGCCCGTCGCCGGTGCCGGCCGCTGGCTGCCGGGGACAGGTGCGGCCGATGGCAGGTAATCGGTGCCGGCCCGGCTGGCGCCCTAATGAGACGGCCGGCGACACAGCTGGCCTCGGCTCTCCCGCCGGCGCTGCCGGGCACGCCGGCTCGGCCCGCCCGGGCCCCGCTCGCGGGCCCCGCTCGGGCCGGACCGGCCCGGCCCGCCCGCCCGCCGGCCCCGCCCGGCCCCGCCGCCCAGCCCGGCCCGCCGGCCCCGCCGCCCCGCCGCCCCGCGGCCCCCCGGCCCCGCCCGCCCCGCCCGGCCACCCGGCCCCGCCCGCCCCCCGCCCAGCCCGCCGGCCCCGCCCGGCCCCCCCGCCCCGCCGGCCCCCGCCCGCGCCCGGCCCCCCCCGCCCTCGGCTCCCGCTCGGCCCCCGCCCCGACCCCGCTCGGCCCCCGCTCAGGTCCCGCTCGGCCCCTGCTCGGCCCCGCCCCGCTCGGCCCATCCGGCCCTGCTCGGACCCCAACTTGGGCCCCGCTCAGGTCCGCATCCGGCCCCTGCTCGGCCCTCCGCCCCGCTCGGCCCTCCGCCCGCTCGGCCCACCGCCCGCTCGGCCACCCGCCCGCTCGGCCCCCCCGCCCGCTCGGCCCCTCCGCCCGCTCGGCCCTCCGCCCGCTCGGCCCACCGCCGCTCGGCCCCCCGCCCGGGCCCCGCTCGGCTGGGTCTGTTGGCGACGCCACGGAGTGCGTAACTTGAAAAAGACATGTGATATGAGCGACATGCTTGCGCGATGCGTAGCGACTTCGTCCAGGGAGATCGCCTCATCTGGGCGTCTGTTTATTACATATCACGTGACATGGGCATAAGTCGCCGACGTTGGTCTGTATCTACCGCTGTTAGCAGTTTTTTTTTTGTTGTTGTCTGGACTAACATAACCATCAGCATCGAAGCACAGCTGGCAGCGCCGCTGGCCGCGTACTAGGGTGCCCCCGCGGGCTGACCGGTGGCCTCGCTCTGCGCCAGGTCTGCCGGTGGGCCAGCACATCTACCTGTCGGCCCGCATCGACGGCCAGCTGGTGATCCGGCCCTACACGCCCGTCTCCAGCGATGACGACCACGGCTACATGGACCTGGTCGTCAAGGTGGGTGCCGCCGCCGCCTTCTCTCGCGCCCGCGCCGCCCGGCTGTGACCGGCTGCCGTTCGGCCTCGTTCAGAGAAGGTCACGTTATGCGGTGTCACGAGGCGATGGAAGCTCGCAACGTTATGGAACAGCGGGAACCCTTCCTCTCTCATTTGAGCATATCTCTGTGGGTATTAGGATAAACCAACCGAGGTTTGGGAAGGACAGTGCGGCGTTCTTTCAGGTGGCATGTCAGGTTGGTGAAATGCTTGCTCGCATCGACCGAAAATTGGTGTGCGTGGCTGAGACGCGTTTCGCAGCCTTTACTCCGTGGAACATCTGTGTAATGTGCTAACAGCTGTACTTGTTGGGTGCTAAGTGAAATCCCTTTTCGCCGGCAGGGGTCTTCTTATTGTGCCATTGCTGAGCTAGAGACAGTTCCTTGGACGGGCCCTACCCTGCCCTGCCACGGCCTGGTAGAGCATCGGCCACCGTGTGACCGTTCTCACGGCACAAAGGGTGGCATAAAGTTGACGCTGGACGCACTGTGTCATTTCCAGGTGTACTTTAAGAACGTGCACCCCAAGTTCCCGGACGGCGGCAAGATGTCGCAGCACCTGGAGAACCTGCCGCTGGGGGAGACCGTCGACGTGCGCGGCCCGTCCGGTGAGGGCTCCCACGCCGCTAGCTCGCCGGCGAGGTAGTTCGAGAGGCCGGGCCGGCGGAGCCTGCGGGCCGCAGACTGTCCGACCGCCACCACTCGTAGGGGCGCGGTGCCCTGTCCGACAATGGGAGGGACCAAATAGCGAGAACCCGACACGCATGGGTTGGGTTGTTGTCGCTTTTTTATTGGGTCGGTGTGACGCACTGAGGAGATGAGCCTGCACGGCGTCACCTGCCCCTCACTCTGACAGGAAGAGTGGACACCGAGGGAGATCGGCTGAGACCAGTTTGCCTAGCGGAAAGTTTAGGTACTATCATCTCCACAAGGGACCTAAGATGGCGTTGGGTGTAACGTTTCAGCATCGGTCTCGGCGCGTCCAATGCCGATGCTGCTAGGACCACGGTGTGCTCTGCCGCAGGTCTGCTGATCTACACGGGCCCTGGCGAGTTCAGCGTGCGGCCCGAGAAGCGGGCGCCGGCGACTGTGAAGCGCGCCTCCAAGGTCGGCATGATCGCAGGCGGCACCGGCATCACCCCCATGCTGCAGCTCGTCAGACAGGTGTTCAAGGTACGCGGCGCCGGGTGGGCCGGGCGCTCCGGTCGCTGGAAACGGTGCTAAATACGGAAAGCAGTGCAATGTTCTGTTGAGCAGTACTGGGGATTTCCAACGTGCAGCGTCAGGCCGCTGTTCGATCTCTCGGTGGTCAAGTCTCTGCTCCTTGGTGATGGAGTGTTACACCTTGGCGGGAATCCATTGCAGCTGACATCGGTTCGAAGTCGGATTGTGTTTGGAGCTATGCAGAGTAGCTGTACAAATCCATCACAGTCTAGTATGACAACAGTTTTTTTTTGTCTATCCGGATGGCATACTTCCCGCCACCGTTTCAAATACTTGGTCATTCGTGCTCCGGACGTCCTTGGGCAGTGTTTGTCAGTGACAGCAACACAGGCCGTATGTCATGACACTATTGATCCGTCCTGTCGCAGGACCTGTCTGACCGTACGGAGCTGTAACTGCCCTGACAGTGTCGGTCCGTCCTGTCGCAGGACCCGTCTGACAGTACGGGGCTCTGCCTACCCTGACAGTGTCGGTCTGTCCTGTCGTAGGACCTGTCTGACCGTGCGGAGCTGTAGCTGCCCTGACAGTGTGGGTCTGTCCTGTCGCGGGACCCGTCTGACAGTACGGAGCTGTAGCTGCCCTGACAGTGTCGGTCTGTCCTGTCGCGGGACCCGTCTGACAGCACGGAGATGTAGCTACCCTGCCAGCTTGGGTCTGTCCTGTCGCGAGACCCGGCTGACAGCACGGAGATGTAGCTACCCTGCCAGCGTGGGTCTGTCCTGTCGTAGGACCCGTCTGACAGTACGGGGCTTTGCCTACCCTGACATTGCTGGTCTGTCCTGTCGCATGATCCGTCTGACAATACGGGGCTGTGGCTGCCCTGACAGTGGCTGTCGCGGAACCCGTCTGACCGTACGGGGCTCTGCCTACCCTGACAGTGTCGGTCTGTCCTGTCGCAGGACCCGTCTGACCGCACTGGGCTGTAGCTGCCCTGACAGTGTCGGTCTGTCCTGTCACAGGACCCGTCTGACCGCACTGGGCTGTAGCTGCCCTGACAGTGTTATTCTGTCCTGTCCCAGGACCCGTCTGACAGCACGGAGCTGTGGCTGCTGTTCGCCAATCAGACGGAGGAGGACATCCTGCTGCGGGAGGAGCTGGAACAGCTGGCCGAACAGCACGCCGACCGTTTCCACCTCTGGTACACCGTCGACAGGCCCGGAGAAGGTGCGCCACACGTCCGAGACACGCCGTCGGTCTGTCGGGTCACACTCTGCGCTCGGAGTTGAGAAGAGAGATGTGCCACGGATGTTCTGGGACGTTTTGGGCATTCTTGGTTCCTGTTTGATGAGGTTCATTATTATCTAGGCACGTAAACGTGGTCTGTCCATCGTGAAAGAAAGCGGTTGCGTTTTTCATGTCAGTGTAATCGGCGTTACTTCCATTGGTTTTCGTGAGGTTCGGGATGCTTTTGCGTGCATGAAACACATCTTTAAAGATGTTTTGAGTTCAGAGAGACGTAGGCTTAGTTTGCCCGCATGCAATGACACGCTTGTGATGGTGGTGGAGTGTCCAGGCCATGGCATGGGCTCCATGTGGGACCATTTGTTGTATTCCTGGTTGCGTCGTGGCCCTTGGGCGTCAGTATTATCGCTGCAATCACCAAGGTTCCATAAAAAGCGCGTGACGAAATCTCCAGTCCATCTAAAAGAGCCCGAACCGAACGTTGACAAAAATTGACCGCTTTTTCACGGGACCTTGAAGTTACCTGGGGGTAGGGGAGAGACAGGGGTCCTCTGTTCCTCTTAACGGTACCCTCCATGAAGCGAACGCTAATCGTCCAGCTGGCAAGGAGGACAGACCTTTTGCTGCACCCCTGCCGCCGCCCCTGCGCCTGCCCCCGCCGCCTCGTGCCGCGCGTGCGCTGACGCCGCCTCCGCCGGCAGACTGGCAGTACAGCAGCGGCTTCGTCTCGGCTGAGATGATCGAGCGCCACCTGCCGCCGCCCGGCCCCGACACGCTGGTGGTCATGTGTGGCCCGCCGCCCATGGTCAACTTCGCCTGCCAGCCTAACCTGGAGAAGCTCGGCCACCCGGCCAATCGTCGGTTCGCCTACTGACCGAACTGGGCGGCTGGTATGAGGCCGCGAGCGGAGGTCGGCGGAGAGGGCGTGGACGGGAGTGAGTCGGCCGGAACGTGTGGCCCGCAGGCGCTGGTCGTGTGTACGCGGCAGAGGTGGGCCGAGGTGGCAGCCATTTGGTGCGGCGATGAGACGTGGGCAGGCACCGATTCGGGAGAATCGCGTCGCTGGGGTGGGAAGATTTGCCGATGGTTGAACGCACGACGGAGATCGCAACTGCGGCAACTACTCTCTGTGCTGTAGAGATGGCGAAGGCGTGGTGGCCAGTGGCGGGCGGGAAAGATGACTCTGTAGGGATGGTCAAGTGCAGCGTGGATACGCTGTAGGGTAGGCAGTTCGGATCCTGCTGTCCGGCTTCAACTGGCACTGGGCGAACAGCGCTGTTTTGGTATAGTAATAAGTTGTTGATAGCCCGCCCTTATTAACACAGCGAATGGCTGTCGAGCTGGGGAGTTCACTCCCCCACTGTTTTGCTCTGCTCGTATGGCCGGCTATGGACTACGCCGTTCTGAGCGGTTCAGTTTACCGAGCATGATTCGGAAATATATTCTGATTGCTAATTGCCCGCGTGTTTTGCGTGCTGACGCGCACAGAGTTCTGAACAGCGGCGAGGCAGCAACGTGAATGGGAAGCATGGACGCCTCAACAAAGATTTTAGTCGCTTGGCAAACGGTGCTGCATCCTGGCCAGCCGGATGAGGATGCTGAGACAGCGGTAGACGATGGCTGAAATGCGCTTGGCCCAGGTCAGCCTACAGTCGACAGCGACGCCCAGCATCTCGGCACTTGGAAATGGTTAGATTTCGTTGCCCAAAATCGGCAGTATATTTGGTAGCGTCAGAAAACTGGGCCTCGTCAGGCGCGTAGAGTGACCTCTCCGTGTACTGTATGTTATGTACCATGAAGCCATGCGTCCATCCAACCGGCTTCGATTCCGCACCAGCCCAGTTTCTCCAGGGGGTGGCCATATTTGACGAGGGCAGGCCACTGCGTGACATTAGCACACCTTTCCTTGCGTGGGGGGCTTGTTACGGCACCGAGCACGTCCGCATCTGGGGAGAGCGCTGGAAGACCATGCGTCTGAGAGCCCGGGCCGCGCGGCACGCCACCGCGGCCGCGTGGCCCTCGTCTCCTGCAGCTGCAGTGACGAGGGCCGGTGACGCGGGCCGCCAATAATCACAGCTCACGCGACGTGGTAGTCCGCTCCAGCGAGGGACTTGATCAGTGCGCCAACTTCTGCCGACATATGAATCTGTAATGAGTTAAATGTAAGGTCGGCTTAAATTTCATGCTCTTCTTCTTAATGCTTTGATCAGTTCATGTGCTTCTAGTGCTCTCAGTAGACTAATAGTCTCTCCTGCTGTTATATCCAAGACTTTCTTGGTCGAATCAACAAAAAAAAGAACCCATTCTGGATGGCTGGATGGTACCGGCTTTCCCACAAGTTCCCGGCGTAGCTGACTCTCGGTTCACCGCGAGGATGGGGAGACGGCTGGCCCCGGCTGGCGGCTGGCCATCTAGCGGTCCCATGACACACCTTAACAGGGAGAGCCTTCTAACGCGTGTTTGAGGCCAAGATCACCCGCGAGTGGGATGGAGCGTAACTGACGGCAGCTCCTATGCTGTTGGGGCACGCTGTGTGAGGAGCAGAACGCTGTCCGTAAGGGCATCGATCGGGCACCTTTAATCGGTATGGCATGTACTCAGCGACACGCGCTTTGTGTCTGTTACGGCGTGGAGGACGGCGAAGCTGAAAAGTTGGCAGTGTAACTGCATTCAGTCAACGTTTCTGACGGTAGTGCAGAATACGTGCACCGCGAAAAAAAATTGTAAAACCTTATGCCATTTTTGTAATGTCAAACATCACAAGCGTTTTGATGCAAGTAGTTTCAACATTGTACTTTGTCAGATACCTACGTGCGGTTATTCACTAACTCTCAATAATGTCTCTCATTCGATATATACATGGCAGGCTTAACAACAAGCAGCTTATGGGTGACATTTTGCCAGAATCTTGCGGAACAAGCACTAAGCGTTGACCTACTTGTTTGTAATGCCAGTAATGCCGTTTGCATTCACATCTGTCCTATGCATCACCCAGCATCACCTAATGCTATGGATTCGAAGAAATTGGATGCCCTTGCTTGGAATTCGAGACGGATTTTAGTTTAAATCTCGGAGATAATTCTTCTTACGTGCCTCATATATCCTTCTTTGAAGTTGCCACTGAATGCGCTGCGAACTTGTCTTCCTGAAAACATACGCCATGCAGATCTTAATGAACAGGAACTTACTTCTTATGGGAGATGATGAGGTTCATGAATTGCAAGTTAAAAACCTGATGCAGATTTTACAACCATTCCTAAAACCAATGCCCGACCAGACAAGCTGGCCGACTGCAAAATATTGCCTCAGTGTTTACTTTAGGAAAGCACCCACGTTCACAGCACCAGCGGCAACCGCCAACAGCCGCTCATCTCGATCACATGCAACGAGAACGGCTTACTCAAAATGGTGCTCAGCTGTTCCGCGAGAGTCAGCGGACTCTGCTCAATTTACCGAATAACACGACCACGTCCTGTGGTACCATCGACGAGTAAATGGATGCGTCCATACGACAGCCAAGCATCTCAAGCCGGCCTGATGCGGGGTCACCTGCCTGCTTTGGGTTATCTGATGATCATTGCAAATTGGAAGCATTACACAGCTTGCGTATGTTACAAGTGGTCAACTGACGTGACTCGCCGACACGTGCTTTAATACAAAAATGGGAGAAGAGTGCTTCTCTGGCACTTGATGACGTTTATAATCGGCATGATGCGACAGTGCTCCAATATTCGGTCACTTGGGTGGCATGGATGTCGGTATTTTTTCATGCTATTACACCCCGGCTTGTGGCTCACTGCCGATCGCCCCTCCCCTTGTTCAAAATCAGCCAATCAGCATCGAGCCGCATGACTGTTAAACCAGTATTGATGCGCCTCAGGCTTGACAAATGGGCTGAGTAGGTCAGATGCCCGGGTCAGGGTCAAAGGGCAACGGATTAGCGCCAACGAATCGCGTGCGGGGCCACCGCCGGAGAGCCAACATTCTGGCAGCATAAATTTATATTTACATCCTGCACACCCTACTGAATGAATTTTGGAACGCTGTGATGCGACTCTCGTTTTCTTGTAACGCGTCGCATGACCCGCCTTTCCCGAATCACAAAAGTAAAGGGGGTTAATATATTTATCAGTGTAGGTCTGCTTTTGTCGACGTTGCTGTGCCTACCGAGCTCTCACTCTTTGCATTTTTGAAATTCTTGTTTTTGTGCTATTCTGGCTTTGTTTGTTGATGTTCATGGCAGATAGTGACTATATTTCTGTCACTCCACGTCTTGTGGAAATCATTGGACGAAGAATTGCACGAGGGCTTCTTTTCCCAATCTTTCAATAAGCATCCATCATCCAAAGCGCTCTAATCGAGCGGGTCACCGACGAGTATGAAATAAGCAGCAAATCAATATCAATATTCAACAGAAATCAATGACTTTTCTATTTTAAAAACACTTGTATCAACGATAGCCCAATGTACAATGTCATGCGTCATTTGATCTGAAATGCTATGCATATTTCAAAAGCATCCTAAAAGTCGAACAATCAAATTAAAATAAATTGCTGACTCTGTCAGCTAACCAGTTTTTCAGCTTTTGTGTTGTTTCAAGTTGAACTTGCTAATTTTTTAACTTAGCGGGTTTCCAACTAATATATTATTTCCCCTTGATTTCAGTACGGCCCCCCTGATCTAAAACATCCCGACCTCTTTGATTTTCATCAAAAACACTGTAAATATAGACCATCATATAAAACGTTGGCATTTCACCGCATTTCGCTGGCATTAAGTCTGTAACCTCGGGAGACCATCAATTTTGTATGTATGGTATAGAATATCGGGCCGACCTTTGGTAGGTACTGGCTATTAGAGCACATAATGTCGGATATCCAGGTAGTTATGAGGTTACCTTTAGACGCAAGCATCATCCGACGCTGCAATTGATACCATTCGACTCTCCATGGTATGCCCTGTCTGGAAACATGTCATTTGTACTCACTTGCGCAATGTCGTCACGCGGCCTGACATCACTTTCCAGGTCATATGGTCTCGAACTGAAGCCAAGGGAATGATTTATCAAGATGCCCGTCTTTGAAGCAAGGGTATCGAAAGCGTACATGGACATATGCATGTATGAAAACTGATTAACTGAAAAGAACATCAGCATTGTTTTTGAGCCTTTTCCTTGATTACTAGGCTTAAGACATTTCGGAATCAAAACAAAACATTTTTACCCCCGGATGCCCCACAGAAAGCCTTTGTGTGGTGTGTCAGAGCACCTTGGGCATTCGTTGCAAGCGCAAGTGTCCTGAAAATAGAATGGGTCGCTGTTTCTGGTAAATATGGTTGTCGAAATGCTACTAGCTTCTCATGCGTTGGGGTCTGGTACAAGCCTCCGGTCATCCTACGATCTTATTGCCGGGTCGGAAAATTCAAATGACGGTCAATATTATGTTTAGTTCCAACCAACATTAATTGAGTACATATCTGTCATGATTGATAGCGTCACAGAGCACGCTAAATTAATTATGAATGGAAAATCACACGTCGCATTCTATTGCTGTCCGAAGTCTTCTAATCTCCTGTACCTGAGCTCGCTCGATTACACTCCTCATCACGTTCTATCTTGGTTTCATCCAATATTCTGGGGCTAAACACAGCGTTAAGTACTAAAAACACGAATGACTTCCTCTCGTCAGAGGAATGCTTGGCTCAGCTCGTGATTACAAATATATTTTCGAGCACTGCGTTGGCATATTTCCGTAGTTATCAAATTAAAGAACCGTTCTTTGGTTGCCTGGTTTTAAAAACAATGTAAAAAGGTTATGTTCACGCACGTACATTCCAAACACGCCGATGATCATTTAAAATGAATTTGTGCTTTTGGACGGTGTTGATTCTCTTCTTTGGTTTCCGTTTTCCGAAAGCCGAGTCGAGTCCCATCATTGACTTCCCATTAGCAGATGACAAGGTGGTGCTTTACTTCTTTGATGGTGTCAGCCCTCCTTCAACACAAAGAAAACTATTAGTGAAGAAATTTTTGGAAGACCTCGGAAAGAAATCATGCGTTCAATACAGGGAACTCGACGCTTACGGAAGTTCATGTGATGCGTCACAATTCAAGTTGGCAGTGTGCTTTAAAAGCACTAGAGGTGTAGACACAGGAAGACCAGGATTATGTGATGTTTCCATGCCATTTTATCCAAATGGAATGTATGGGCTTTGGAGACCTTATGTATTTATCCTGGGTGACGAAACAGAATGTTCTTGGGAATATCTAGTGAGCATGATTTTCCTGCTCTTTAGCTACTCTCCAACAGTTTTCAGACCGGATAGGGACGGTTATGTGAGCATCAATCCCTTAGCCGTGGTTAATTTGGACCAGGCTACTTCATCCGGACGCTACGCGTGTAATTTACAAAGCCTGATCGGAAGGAAGGAAACTGAAGAAGATTTCGCAAGCCACAAGTTAGTGGATAAGAACACTGGCTCAAATTCTCTCCCCTACTATACATACAAGTCTGTTTTTCACCCTGGTACGAGTCACTCAAGCTATCCACGTGAACCAGGTCCAATGTTTGTCACAAAATTTACAATTTGGCAGCCATGGATTGACGCCACGAAGTACACGAAGAATTATGAAATTCGATTTACGCATCACGACGAAGCAATACTTGGGTGGCGCTATCACTGCGACACGAAAGAGAGAGACGATTGCGCTATGGGCGGAAGTTCTTACTCTCGATTTCATCATTGGAGCTCATGCCCGGCGAGTGGATTTATGAGGGGATGCAAATGTATTTGCTCGAGCCGTTTTTTAAACGACATAACGTGCTCAACTTACGACGAAGTGGAAGGTGGAAAAAAGGTGAGAAATGACAGGGACTTTCACGAAGGCAATGAAGAGCCGAGGCGACATAAGACGAGACAGTCAGTCATAACTGTAGATCAATTGGATGGAGCCACACGAACGCTATCTTTAGCAGACGAAGAAGGCAAATACTTAGCGGATCGAGACGATGAAGAAATTGTAGTGGGAGGCTACAAATATACCCGACAACAAGTGTTCGGCGATGACGTCGGCTATCGTTTTATATTGATTTTGATGAAGGGCAGTGACCCGTGCTTCCGTCCTGTTCTTCACATAAATGGTCGCGAATATCTGAGCACGAAGACTGGGCAAACCATGGCCGATCCCAATTACGAAAAAGTTATTGTACAGCAGGGTTATGATTGCTTTGGTCTGGTGGCAGGATTCTTTGATCAAGATGGTGATCCTTTCTATGAAGCAGATTGGGATGGAAGTTCGAAGGACTCCATGTTCAAGAGACGACTTTTCTGTTACTCTTCGTTGTATCTGGAACAAACAGAACTTCGGGCTAAGAACCAAAGGGCAAGTCTGTATCTGCAGTACAACTGGAGGATGGACCCCAAAAACATGCTTGTGAACGGTCCCTTCAAGTTGAAAATGACGGTGAGGGGCAGCGCTGACCCTTGGTGTGCGCTGGTAACTTATTGTTCACCCTTTTTCCGTACCAAGCACGACTATGACAGGGAATATTGTCGAGCCCATTTACCACCACCAACGACGACTGCGGCACCTGCCGTTGCGACCACAAAAAGGACCACACCAACAACTACGCCGACCACCACTACCGCAACCACTACCACGACCACTACCACTACCACTACAACAACTACTAAGGCGACGACGCACAAGGAAAAGACAACGACGACTACCACTACCCCAACTACAACAACGACGACAACAACTACAACTACGACAACTACTACAACAACACCGTCAACAACAACGACCACTACTACCACCACAACAACCACGGTGTCAACCGTCACTACCACGCCAAGGCCAACGAGATACACCCGTAGAACTTTTAAAACTCCTGTGGTGATCCCCCCTCGCACAACGCCTGGACCTGTAGATCCAAGCCCAAAGTCTCCCATGTGGCCACCTCCTCCTACCTTACCAACCGCACGATCCACACTAGGGACCACATATTTCACCACAACTACCACGACAACAACGACAACGACAACCACCACCCACAAAACTGTACCAACCACGACGTTTAATCCACCACACTGGTCTGTAACGACGAAAGCGACGACGACAACACCAACAACTACAACAAAGAAAACAACGCCACCAACCACAACAACTACCACCACAACGACAACGACCACAACGACTACAAAAAAACCCAAGAGGACGACGATAGAGAACGTATTTTCAAGCATTCCTACGAAGGCACCACGCACTGAAGCGCCGGGAGCGCATGGGTCAACCACAGATGTGGTAATCGAATGCCTCTTCTTCATTTCAAAAGGATATGGCAAATGTAATGGCACGACATTTACTCTTTACCACTTTCGACCACCGTGGTGGACTACTCCACAGCAAAGGTTCACAACCGTTACACCCTTACCTTCTCCGCCGACGACCACAACGCGCAAGCCGAACACCAGGACACTACCGTCGTTGGGACCTATCACGTTCCCGCCCGGAACGCGTCCGCCAGATTTTACGAAACCCACCGATATTGACGGAAGCACACGCACTCGTCCAAACACGCCTGTTGGGCCTGGTCCCAGACCACCCGGGCGGACAACTAGTGACGGTGGAACGGGAGGCAATAAGCGCACACCGACCACTCCAAGCGGTGGAGGTGGTGTGGTCGGTCCTAGACCCGGTGGTACCACTGCCAAAAATGGAGGCCCTGGCGGCCCTGACGCTAACGGCCCTGGCCCTGACGGCCCTGGTACCCCTGGTGGCCCTGGTACCCCTGGTGGCCCTGGCTCCGGCCCTGGCGTTGAAGGGACAACAGACTCTGGCGGAAATGGTGTAATTGGAGGTCCTGGCCAGAACACTGGTCAGCCTGGTGGTTCTGGGTCCTCCACCACCAGCGGCAACGGAACTGGCGGCGGTGGGGTTGGCGTCGGATACACCACCGAATCGGTCATCGTAGGCGGAAAGGGTGGTGGTGAAGCCATGAAGAAAGGCAAGGGAGGAACTGGACTTATCGTCGCAGGAATACTTATTCCACTCCTCCTTCTGCTCTGCTGTCTTATCATATGTCTCGTGATGAAAAAACGGAAGGAAGGTGAAGGGGACGACGAGGATGAAGACGAAGAAGGCGAGGAAGGGATGGACGGAATGGGTGTTGAGGGAGGAGAAGCCGGCATGGGCGGTGGAGCGGGTGGCATGGGTGGTGGAGCAGATGGAATGGATGGCGGGGCAGGTGGAATGGGTGGTGGAGCAGGGGGCATGGGCGGTGGAGCAGGGGGCATGGGCGGTGGAGCAGGAGGCATGGGCGGTGGCGCAGGTGGAATGGGTGGTGGAGCAGGTGCAATGGGTGGTGGAGCAGGTGGCATGGGAGGTGGTGCTGGCGGAATGGCGGGCGGAGCAGGTGGCATGGGGGGTGGAGCAGATGGAATGGGTGGTGGTGCTGGTGGAATGGGTGGGGGAGCAGGCGGTATGGGTGGTGGAGCAGGGGGCATGGCAGGTGGGTCAGGGGGCGGAGCAGGCGGTGGAGCAGGGGGTGGCGCAAGTGGCGCTGGAGGAGCAGGAGGAGGCAAGAAGAAAGGAAAATTCCGGTTTGGAAAAAAGAAGGGAAAGAACGACGACTTTGATGATCCAGATCTGTTTGGAGGGGCGATTGGGCCCGGTGAGCAGGACGCGCCTGAAATGTTCTTACCTGGTGCATCTGGGTAATACCGATGGTACTGAATTTGTGATATCCAGGCATGTGAAGTGCTAAGCCCGTCACTTTAAGCGGTGGCTGTTTTTTGTGAAACAACCAGGAAAGCTTTCCAGATCAAATATATTTTGGCTACGCGAAGCAGGTTTTATGCTTCATTAAAGACTCAGTGCTATGCGAAGATAAGGTAAGAAGATGCGGCCTGGTAAAGCTCAGTTTCACCACGTGATAAGAATTTCAGTGTTTTTTTGTGACATTCATGATCGTTAATAAGTTCAATATATTTCATAAATATATGTTCGCCGCTTTTAGATTATATATTGGAAAATATGTGCACCCTTATTTCCACGACAAAGGGTTGAAAGATCCTGGACAAACCACCACAGTCATCGGCTATCAGTTCCAAGCAAATTCGCCTCACTAACGTGTTTTATACTTACTTACGTACACACGAACGATAGAAAAGAAAGGAGACTGCGTGACTTTAGACTCAGCATCGCAAACGTAGGATACCTGTATACACGTATAATGTTCAACCGTTTGACAAAGCTTGAAAGTCGAAACAAATGTTTCATTAAGATGAGGTGCTAAGGTGATTTGAACATCAAAGGCTAACGGTTTTTTGTTATTTTGTAGATGCGTTACAGCAGTCACTTAACGCCCTGTTAATGGCCATAGAGGTCTCCCTTTTTATAATTTCCTTTTAAAAGCACTATTTCACATTTGTATGGGGTTTTAAACTGAAATAGCCATCCTGAAGGTCATTCACCATGCAGTCCACAGCCCAGCCCCTCTTATGACCTAAATCCCTCTAGTTTTTTAGCTGCACACCCGTGAAGATGTACAGACTTTTCCGGGAGAATGTTTCAATCTCACCCAAGCATCCATGACGGCACCATAACGTCATCCAAAGCCCGCAATTCCGTTGGCCATGCGGCGATCAAGGTCAATAAAAATATAATTGTCGAGTCGTTCATATCTAGCTTTCGTGAACATAATTCCCACATATAACGGCCGTCAGTTGGCTCTCAAGCAGTGTTTTGCAAGGCATTATGACGTAATCAAACGGTGGCATATTGAAAAGCATACTTACGAGACAGAGAGATTGCGCTGTCTAAAGCAGCCCTTTCCACTTAGAAGCATGGCAACATTTATAAGTGAGCTTATTGTGTCACATCCGATGCTTGATTCAATATCTTCAGATATGGAACACTCTCTTGAAAAGGGAAGCTGTGCAGGTTGCTCTTAGATAGGGCACGCAACGCACACCGTCACGCACCATTTTATGGAGCTCCAGAGCCTGCTGTGTCCATGTTAGCCCTCAAGGGTCATTGCATAACCAGGTTGGAGCCTGGGTGTCATGTGAGCAGTGGAAGCAGTTGTCACTTGGCCATTACACATCGCGGCGGCTCCCAACAGCGAAAATGATCTTAACTTTCCTGAATTTGGCGCAATATGTTAGAATGCTGGAAGCGGTAAGCTTGAGCTTTCATTGCTCAACATCCCACCAGCGCAGGAACGACACAACATATACGTTATGCACTTACGCACGAGCGCCACACCAAATGACAGGTCCTGGTAAGGTTTGTCATTTGGAGCCAGGCGAGGGACGGGGGGGGGGGGGGGGGGTACGCCCTCTCTCTTTCGTAGGAACAGGAGGACCGGCCCCTTATCCTGACAACCTTCGGAGCTATTAGTTCAATAAAGAAGAGCGATGTCAATAATTTTCTAAAATTGCATCACCTGCTCTAGCCAATGTCAAAAGCCTAACTTACAATTCGGGAGGACAAGTGAGGATAGTTGTTCGAGCTATGTCTTCTCAGGCAACTCCCATCATTCATTTTCGAAAAGCTAGATTTTCAGAGAGCGTGGGGCTCAGCCCCTGTCCGAGACGTGGGTCCTGCGCCCCATGTCTTGCGTCTGTGCAGCGCAAGGCACGTGAATAAATTGCACAGCAATTATCATTTACGAGAACGCCAGTTATTAAACCGATTATTTTGCTACTCATTTTTTATTCTAGTGTCGCGACAGTTTTCAAGCCTCGTCCTATCCTCCTCCCAATGAAGAAATGGTGGCGCCACCCCTTCTTGTAGCACACGGCCATCGGGTTTCTGCTAAGTTATCTTTCTTTAAAATGTGAACTGATCCAACAAAGGAGCTCTGTCTAGAGGTTTGTTCTAAATAAGTTTTAGATGTCTGGAGCATTCTGCATTTTATTTCTGTTGAGGGCCTACCTCAAAATGCAAGCTGGTTTAATGCAGATTACGTGTTAGATTGCTTCGATTTTTTCTGTGCTCAGTATCAAATATTCACAATTTCATCGCAAGTCTTGGATAATAATTGCCTGCGCTTACTGCAAACAAAGCCAGCATGCGATGGGTTTTGATTTACCGAAATTCTGGACTGAGATATTACTGGAGTACCTAAATGTCTTGTGGAACAGCATAAATCTTGCCGGCGGCGTCATTCTCATCTTTGGAGGGATAAGACACCGCCTTCCACATTTCTGGCGTAAGTTAGAGCGTGATGTTTTGCTTGCAAAAGAAACAATGAAAGGCGAGATTTGGAGATCTAATTAGAGTGAAGGATTCGATGACAACCAGGCTCCATTGCTTGGTTAACGAAAGGACTGTTGACAACCTGAATTCAGGGTGCGCGTGGGCACAACAACTAAAGCGAGCCAGCAGTTGCAGTCTGATTAAGTGACAGAACTACCAGGATCAGAAAACCAAATCCGTATTTCACGGCAGAACGGACAGGAACCAGTAATCAGCACCCGTGCTTCGCAAAAGAAAAAAGCAACAATCGGATCCAGGATCAAGAGCCTGTTTCTTACCAATGAGGCAATGACAACCAGAACTCAGGGCTCAGTCTTCACGAAGCATTGAGAGACGAGAGCCAAAAATAGGAGGCAGACACGCCTGGAAATAAGCATAGATCATGACTAAAGTTTCACAGCGCACCTGACTTCGTTTGTTCAGAAAACCGACAGCAACTTGTTGTACCCGAATTTTGAGGAAGTCGAAAACACCGCAAACGGCGCACACACACACCCACACCCACACCCACCCACACCTACACCCACCCACACCCACACACACCACACACACACACACACACACACACACACATATATATATATATATATATATATATATATATATATATATATATATATATATATTGTTAACCCGATGGGTGTCATAAGGGCTTGTTTCTGTCATCGCCGTGCAATGCGCTAAGTGTGCACATTGAACGTGATTGGGGGGGAAGAGGCTGGCGTCTGTACTGCATGCAGGTGATGCATCTTGTGTTCATCTTGCTGTTAGTGTCGCGGCAAGCTCGGGTTCAACTTGTTCAACCGCCTGGAACCGATGTGACGGCGGAGCCAGAGACCAGCCTGCGATTTCACCAGACATCACTGGCTAATCGTGCATCAGCATGACGTCGCTTTCTGAAGACCAACTGAGCAAGGCATAGCTGACGAAGAGACGTTTTGTAGTCGGTAGCTAACACCAGACGAAGCCTTCCTCGCGGGAAAGGACGGTGGTAGGAGCGTTATAGGCGGTGGCGGATTCAGCATGTCGCCAAGAGTGCGAGAGCCAAGCTCATGAGGGGCCTGTCCCGATAAATGGACAAATTACGTCCGCCGGCTTCGTTCTAGCCCTACCGCAGAATCAAGAGATATAAGATTTTGGAAGGCGAGTGCAAATTTATCATGATAGACTTACTTGCCAGTCAGCTTCGATCCTATTTAACAGCATCTAGCTCACAAAGGAACACAAATATTAGGATATGACGGCGTTATTTCAACAACGCCGGCATGTCACATCAGGACGCTACTGTCAGGGCAAAGTAGCGGGCCCGTTACCAGCATTAACGAACCATGAAACCTGGGGTCCGTTAATCGCCCCGCTGGCTAACGTGGACCTCAACATTACTTGCGCTGTATGCCGGGGCAGGGGACACAAGTGGGGAACCAAAGCAGCTGATCGCCTACGTTCAGGGGGTCCACTGCCCCATATGGTTTCACGCAACACTCAAAGTGGAGCGGTTAAGGCTGCAGCCAAAACAGCCATAGTTGTGACCCCCGCGCACCTCGAAAACGCGTCTTAGGGCATGCCGGCTGACGACAGGAATGCGGTGGGAAAGAAGGCAGCGGGCAGGATTCCTGAAGTTCGGAAACGAGGCTCGCGCCCCGTCCGTGTTTCTCGTTATCCAGACCTTAACTGTGAGGCCTGGTCCTGCGCTGACATGGTCACGTGACCGTGACACACAGCTGAGCCAGCGGCGTCAGGAGCCATGTCAGCCGGCCAGCCCCTGGACCTGCCTGAGTCTCCAGGCTACTCCCAGATCGTCGACTGATGCGTGGAGCTCGCCAGGGAGACCTCGCAATCCGTGCTCAGCCGGGAACAGCTGCACACTCTGATCGTTTTGCACCAAGCGGCTCGCCAATTTAAAAACATCATCGTTGATGGAGCTTCCACACAGACGAACTCGAGTGATATGGACGTCGTAAGGTCCTGATATTTGTCTTTGTTTCATCGCTGCTGCTGCTTCACATGTGTGAGAAGACCTGTTGAATGAATTGGTAATGGAAATCCGCACACTTTTCTCAATCCTTCTTCGAAATCTAACTGGAAGCTTAAATTGAGACTCGGATTGATCTTAGTACCGGCAGTTGCTGCTCGCCACATGGACTCGGTGTCTTAAATGCTACTATTTAAACCAAACGTGGTACAGCTTTCAATGCGGGTGCCGGTGGTGTAGTAGCTAATGGCTTTGCATTAACCACTGCGCGTCTGGGAACCCAGAGGTACGGGGTTCGGTTCCCCGCGGTGCCCGCCCTTCCTGCCAGGGTCTGAAGCAGGCGA